TTTCATTCTCCAACAAGGTGCATAAGTTCAAATTCTTTGCAAATGAGCTCCATCATATATATACATATTACACAATGTTTTATAAGATATTACTGGATGTTACTGAAGTCTGGTAGGGCACAACCCACAATGGATATTGGTAACAAATCGTCTTGGAACACAGACCCCCATATTCTACCCACTGTAAGATGTTTTGGTCATATCCTTGATAAATGTTATAAGTTCATCCTAATTTGAAAACTAAGGTTGAAGTGAATAAGGATGAGTCTAACACCACTGCTCTAGACATTTTAGTTCCACCTGGGGAGGATACTACCAGACAGGTGGTGTCTGTTGCCCCTGAGGACCCCCCTCATGACACTGTTGTTATTGTTACTGCCAGGGATGTGATGTTGACTTCTTCAAACCCCATAGAAAACAATACTGATGGACTATTACCTACAAATGAAAGTGTCAGACTGATAATCAGGAGAGCCTCATAGCTCCACTTCTTCAGGAAGTATCCGGTGTAGAGGCAACTCATACTTCACATATGCTAGAACCTATTGTGAGTGCTATAGTTCATATTCCTTCTGCTTCAGCTCTACCACCCCATCAAACCGATTCTTCGGAAGAGGAATGACAGGTCTATTCCAGGAGGAAGAAGAAGAATGGAGGCAGACTCCAGCTCGGGAACACATTGGATGATACATTGGTTACTTCTGGCAATGACAATCATCTTCCAGCTTGCTAGCTTGCTCCTTTCCTAGAACTAGAGACAGAGGCAAGACCAAATTGGGTTGCTCTCTAGCCACCTGATACTATGTATTTTGACACTGTTAGATTTTTTATTTATCTAATGTATTTTTCTATTTTTTCTAGTTTTGAAACCATTTATGATTTTTTTTGTGGGCAGGGAGCCATGTTCGGGCCCTCCCACATTTTGTATCTGTATCTTTATTTCTACTTATATTAGCCTCTTTGGGCTTTCAATATATATATATATATATATATATATATGCATCCCTCTCTAAGGCCGAATATCCCTAAAGTTCAATCATCTACCATCCCTGCTGAGAAGCTGCAACTCGATCCTCTTTCCAACACCACTGTTCCTGATGAATAACACCATACTACAAGTACAGATCCAAACGTGTTTATACCACTCACTGTTATTGAAGAAGACTCACTTATATGTCAAGACACATGAGAGTGCTCTTCTGATTCAGAAAAAAGATCAACTGGTACAACAAGTAGTTGCTTCTAATGTTCAACAATTTACATATGTCTGACACACTTTAGACCTTTCCACTCATCAGGTAAGCCAATCTTCAGAAGAGGAATGATAGGTCTATTCCAGGAGGAAGAAGAAGAATGGAGGCTGACTTGAGCTCGGGAACTTATTAGCTGATACATTGGTTACTACTGGCAATGACACTCATCTTTCCAATTTATTAGCCGACTCTTTTCCTAGAACTCGAGGCAGATGCAAAACAAAATTGGGCCGCTCTCTAGCTACTTGATACTATGTATTTTGACACTTTTTGGTTTTTTCTTTCTCTCATGTATTTTTCTGTATTTTCTCTTTTTGGAACCATTTGTGATTATTGTGTGGGCAGGTGCCATGCTTGGGCCCTCCCACACGATCTATCTGTATCCTTCTTTATATTTAATATATTAGCTTTTGAACTTTTTCAAAATATATATATATCTATTCATATATATATATCTATGTAGATACATGGCATTATATTTTTATTTCCCCAATGTTCGATTACAACATGTATTGTGGGTTGGATTATAAGTGGGATATATGACCTTGCTTGATAGATAGATTGGCTTGAAGTGTCTTGGAACTTTAGCGAACTCTTTTATAGCAATGATCTCTTTTGGTTATGATTGGTGATAACTGTACCTATCATTGGGGAGCATGGCTCAAAGTGTTTATCTTTATGACTAAAGCTTGATTTTGGTGATGAACCCCTTAAGTTATTCTATTATGACTGATCCTTCATTGGGGTGAAGAATGGAATTGAAGTTGAGGCTTTGTTATGTGGTTATCTTCAGTCTAATCATATACTTCTTGAATTGCTTGAAGTCTCTTCGGTTATATTGGAGAGTTTTGTTTAGTTGGAGGTACTTTGAAAGTCCAGCTTGACCATCAGGGGTGTTGAGTGGGGTTTGCCCTATGTGATTCTACTTTTTGGTGTTTGTGAGGAAACTATTTGTACTTTCAAAAGCGGAGCCACCTCTACCCCACTTGAGCTTTCGGCTATTCTACTAGCTTTTTCTTTACACTTTTTCACCCTGGTTTGTTGAAGCATTTTGACTTTTGAAAATCCTCTGACATGACCTTGAAACTTTATGATCGATCAAAAAATTGACTCTTTAGGAATTTAAAATTTGTGCAATTTAAATATGTGTGGTTGTTGAGCCCTTTGGTTATATTCTTCTGATAATATTGTCTATCATCAGTGATTTGGAGCCTTCCACTTCCTACTTGATTTGTAGTGGGGAGCTTCATTGATTTAGGTTACTCTCCAATTATGATGTGCGGTAATTGTGTCCATTATGTAAGTGAAAGTTCTGTACAACTTTGTCTTGAATTCATGATATCACATTAACTAAACAGATTTGATTTGTGAGTGGTATAGAGAATATAACTTGGAGTTAGAGGGTTATATTTATTTTCTATGATTTCATCTAGATGGATAAACATATTGGCACATAAATACAAGCATCCAATGCTCGCACTAATGACATGAATCTTATCTGTCGTTATGCATTTTTTGTGTTCTTCCAATGCTGACAACCTTGATATTTTTCCTATCACTTGAGGTTAGATTGGGAGCCTCGCCTTTATTGCTTGTTTTGGATGTATGATAATTTCTTCTTCTTATTCACAGAAGAGCTAAGGTTTTCTGGTTCCCTTCTCTCATTTTTCGCACCTCTATTATGTTATTTCCTCTCTTACTCACTCACTTGTGCATGCTTTAAACCTACTATTCTTTACTGAAGAGGAGATATCAAAGCTTATTAGGCCTCTTTGTTTATTCATTTTTAACAAATTCTCACAAAGTTGCCTTAACTTAGAAATTATCTACAATTTTTATCAGGCATATTGTGTGATAGAAAGGTACCGCGTAGGTGAGACCTGCAATGCTTTATGACACGGAATGTTGGCCTTTAAAAGCGAAGCACAAAACAAAGTTAAGTGTTGCTGAGATGAGAGTGTTTAGGAGGATGAGTGATTTGACACTTAGAGACAAAATGCAAAACGAATCTATCCATTGTAGACAAGATTACTGAAGAGTCATTTTTTAGATGGTTTGGTTACATTAAACGTTGATCATCTGATGATTCTGTTATGAGAGTAGATATTTTATATTCAACTTACGTTAAGAAAGGTAGATGTTGACCTAAAAAAACTTGGGAACATTGTATAAAAAATGATCGTAATCTATTAGAATTGAATAAAAATATGACACTCAATACGATACAATTGTGAAAAAGGATTCATGTAGCCGACTCCACTTAGTGGGATAAAGGCATGTTGTTGTTGTTGTTGTTGTATTTAGGGCACATGTGATTAAAATCTCTGTATCTAATGACATGATTTTGAGCACGCAGTAGTTTGTTTGAGCCTTTTATTATATTTATGATTTACTTGATACATTCTTCAACAATCACTTTTTTTAAAAGCTTTTCAAGTTATTAGACAGAAATTACAAGAATTTTGCTCTTTGTTTTATCTTTATTGTATGTTGAAAGAGATCTATGTGGTCTGTAAGATATGAGCATTTTATTCTTTCTAAATCTAGACTCCCTTGTGTTCAACACAACTAAACGCTCTTGTTGAATCTTTCTAAATTGTCTCAACATGCAGGTTTTCAAATAAAATTTCCTACTTGATCAGCTGAAGTTTTTTACAATTTCATGAATTTTATCCTGAAGGACATGGAGCAATTATTATTTTTATTTTGTTGATAGACTAACTTTCTTTGATTAAGGGGCTGTTTGGCTCACTGAATTTGTGGTGTAGTGTGAATGAAATAGTGTTAAATTATGGTGAATTTGGAATTCACCATATAATTCAAAATTTTTGTATTGCAGATTTTCAAAGAAATTGCAAATTGCAGCTAGTCACCACCATAGTAGCCAGCCTTCTGCAGTTGTCGGTGCTTTACATAGATTCCATTTTTTTCAAACCAAACATAAAATTATAAACTAACTCCTACATTTATTTTACACCAAACCAAACAACTCCAAAATATTGCAAATTCACTGCATTTCAGTACACTGCATTCCTTTTTCAGCATAAATTTTTGCACTGGTTGCTGGGTCATTAAAGATCCTTGTTAGCATTTTAAAATTCTTACTTGATTATATCGACTCTTTTAATTTCTCTTCCTGTGTGCAGATCATATACTTTTTACACTATTACTCTTTTCTTGCATTTTTTCTTATTAAATTGGGTATTCAAATCTTTTGTAGTTGTTGCTAAAAGGTAAACATTATTGGAATCATGAATAATGAATATTTTCTCTGATGGAAAAAATCTTGGCATCCTTGATCGCCACTTCTGATTAAATCTTGCCCGGTGTGGGATGCTGCTACTTGATTAAAGCATGAGTAGATTTTATTGTGAATTCCTAGGCATCTTAAAATCAATTGAATGTTGATATTAGGCTAGCTGTGTGTAACTGCAGTGATTGTTTCATGTTTTGATGCTTCTGTTGAGGGATTAAAAAAAAAATAATGATAACTTTTGCACTATGTGTGATATTGAAAAAAACGTAGTTTTAGGACATAATTGAAGGAGCAGAATCCTTGTTTACATGTTAAGAGCTTTTATGTAATCGCGAGCTTGTATTAAATGACTGAAACTCCTTGTGTCAGTATTTTCTTGACAAAGCCTTTTTTCTTTGTTCTCTTTCTCCATTCATTTCCCTACCCATCTACTTCTTGTTCATAATATCTAATCCCTCGTATGCTTTTTTCCTTTTTTTTTCCTTTTTAAGGATGTGTTTGGTGTAATACCTGGAGATACTGATTTCAGAATTCTTGCTGAAGATTATAGCAATATTCCAGGACTTGACATCATCTTTGTCCTGGGCGGTTATTACTATCATACATCTTATGATACAATAGAAAGATTATTGTATGTGCTGAACTGTGTATTTTTCTTTTATCTTGTTGATTAATCCTGAATTTATTATCATTTTTTTCGATTAAAATATTTGACTATTTTACACCAGACCTGGAAGCATCCAAGCACGTGGTGAGAATATAATCCGCTTGCTTGATGCATTTGCAAGTTCTGCGAAGCTGCTCGATGCTAAACAGAGAAAGCTGGAAGATTTTGCGACAAAGAACAGTGATGATCGTGCTGTATACTTTGACTACCTGTCTCTCTTTATGGTACTTACATCATACCTGTGATTTAAGCTGAATGATATGGGGTACAATTCCTTGTATTCTATTGCTTAATGAGGGTTAATGTGTAAGTTTAAATTACATAGCTTAGCAACTTTCTATGCTCCAGATTTTTTACTCGAGAAAGACAGCACTTTTACTTCACAATCTTCCGGCGGTGATATTCCTCTTCATGCCACTGTTGCTTCAGTACCCAAATATTACATTACACTCTTGGTTGGCAGCCTTTTTTGCCTTGATAAAGGGTATGCAGTTCTTATTTGCTTCATAGTTACTTTCTGTGAAATTTTGAAAATTATTGACATTTCAGCTTTGTGTCCTCATATTATGCCAATAACAACGACGACGACAACAACTTTATCTCACTGAGCGAGGCCGGCTACATGAATCTTTTTTCTCCATTATATCCCATTGAGTGTCATATTTTCATTTAATTCTAATAAATTAAGATTATTTTTTATACAACATGCCCAAGTCTTTTTAGGTCTACTTCTATCTTTCTTAGCATAAGTCAAATCTAAAACATTTACTCTCTTAATTGGGTCAGATGGCCGATGATTAATGTTACCAAATCATTTAATAAGACTCTAATCTTGTCTGCCACTAGAGCTACACTAACTCTTTCACGGATATACTTGTTTTGAATTTTGTCTCTAATTATAAAGCTACTCATCCACCTAAAGCATTCTCATCTCTACAACATTTAACTTGGTTTTATGCTTCTCTTTCATGGGCCAATATTCTTTGTCATAAAGCATTGTAGGTCTCACTGACATGTTATAATTTTTTTCTTCAAGTCTAAGCGGTACCTTTCTATCACACAATAGGCTCGATGCATTCCTCCACTTTAACTATCCAAATTGAATTCTTCTATGAACATTTCTATCTATATCACCTTCACTTTGAACAATAGACCTAAGATATCTATAATGTTCACTCATTTTAATGACTTGATCGCCCATTTTTATAACCCCACCACTAGATCCACTACTACTAAAATTACAGTTTTAGATTTACTCAAACAAAGCCTTTAAACTCTAAAGTTGACTTGTATTGTTTAATTTTTTCTTTACTCTTTCTCTAGTCTTATCCACAAGAAGAATATTATCTGTGAAAAGCATACACCAAAGTGCATCCTCCTATAAATGTCTAATAAGAACATCCAGAGCTAAACCAAAAAAATATAGGCTTAAAGCTGAATTCTATTGTAATCCAACTGAAATTGAAAAATACTTGCTCATTCCTCTTTATGTTCAAGCACAAGTAACAACTCTAGCTTGCATGTCTTTTATGACTTGAATATAAGTCATATCAACACCTTTCTTTCTAGAACTCTCCAAACTACTTCTTTTGGGATCTTATCATAAGTTTTTTCTAAATAAAAAAAAAAATCATATGTAGAAACTCTTTACTATCGCTGCACTTTTCCATCAACCTCTCAATAAATGTATAGCTTCCATGGTAGATTTTCCCATCATAAATCCAAACTGATTTTAAGAAATTTTTTTATCGCGTCTTATTCTATGTTCAATTTCTCTCTCCAATAGTTTTAATGTTTGACACATTATCTTAATCCCTCTATAATGTCTCACTCTTCTGCATTCCCTTTATTGTTAAAAATTGGAACCAAAATATTTTTCATAAACTCCTCATGCATTTATTTAGTTTTTAAAATAATATTAAAAAGTTTATTAAGCCAAGAAAATCTCCTTAAAATTTTTACACATTGAAATATCAAGTCGTAGTGATTTTCCAAACCTCATTTTCTTTAAAGTCCAACTTTTATTTTATTAATGTGATGGTAAAAATAAAAAGTTTTACTATTATTAACGACATTAAGATCAATAAGTCGATCGTATGTTAAAAATATTCATTAAAAAGTTTATCAAAATATCTCATGCACCTATATTGAATATTTTTATAAAAAAAAAACATTTTTTGATTTTTAAAATTTTTTCGTCCTTAATATACTTTAATACACTTTAACTTAATTTTTACTTTTATTATCTTTTTGATTAAAAATTTTATTAAGTCAATCTTCAGATGAGGAATGACAGGTCTATTCCAGGAGAAAGAAGAATGGAGGCCGACTCGAGCTCGGGAAATTATTGGATGATACATTGGTTACTACTGGCCATGACACTCATCTTATCAATTTATTAGCTGGCTCCTTCTCTAGAACTAGAGGCAGAGGCAAGGCCAAATTGGGTCGCTTTCTAGCCAGCTGATACTATATACTTCAGCACTTTTAGGCTTTTTCTTTTACATCTCTCATGTATTTTTCTATATTTTCTAGTTTTGGAACTATTTGTTGTTATTGTGTGGGTAGAGCGTCATGCTTGGGCCCTCTCACACATTGTATCTATATCTTTCTTTCTATTTAATATATTAGCATTGCTTTCTAAAATATATATATATATATATATATATATATACACATTATGAAAAATTCAAGGGCTGATTTTATTTAAATACAAAAGACACATAAATGTTGTATGAGAGGGTCCATACGATACCAAATACAGTAATACCCCGATAAAAAGATATAGATAGACTCAAAAAAATTTAAAACATGTAGAAAACAAATAGCTAGGAACGAGCCAGTTTAGTCCTGTCTTTCTTCTAGTTTTAGGAGTGAAGCCAAATAACAAACTTTGAAGTGTCGTGTCATTGTCAGGAGTAACTAAAGTATTATCCATTAAGTTTCTAAGTTGGAGTGTGCCCCCAACCTTCTTCTTCCGCCGAGAAGTGTAAACCTGTTATTTTTCATCTGAAGACTGACTCATGTGATCCTCGGCTTCATTAGATATTAAAATCACAGTAGAAGGAAAGGCAGTCGTTGCCACAACGATGGGATCTAGTGTATGTGAAGTGTGCATTGTCACCTCTTCACCTGATGCTTCCTGAATAGGAGCTGCGGGGCTATCCTGATTTTCGGTTCGAACATTATCCCTTATAGTATAGTCAGGAGAAAGATTCCCAGTGGCAGACACCAACTCCTATCTTGTGGTGATTCCCTCTTCAGGTTGGTTGTCATCAAGTTTGTTGGGAGTACGTTCAAGCACTTGGGGTGCACTAACAACATGTTTTTGTTTTTGACTATTGGTTCTTAACTGTGGGTGCAATATGAAATATTTCTCTTGCGTGTGTGCAAACATCTTGCAGTGCTTGGAGTAGTAAGATTTTTGTTCCATAATAATTTTTTGCCAATAGCCATTGTGAGCAGAGCCAAGTCAAACTTCTTCAACATCTGGTAGTGTAATATCTCTTTCAATCAAAATTCTTGCAATAGGGGGTCTTGAGAAGTGAACTGTAGGTATTTCCACCTGCAAAGGTTTTCCAAGGATAATCTCAATTGTATATAAGATAGCTAGGTCAAATAATTGAAGCTTGAGTTCAGGTAAGGAGAACCAGATAGGTGCAATTGGGGGTTCTTGACTGGGATCAAAATTAGGGGTTCATTCGTGCAATTTCATTCAATTGTGATGAATTTCTTTGAGAAAATTCTTGTGTAATCTTCTTCTATGCTCAGCTGTATCATAACATGTCTTCCGTCGAAAAAACTCACCTGCCAAACCCCAACTAGTTTGAAATCTTCAAAAGTCTTCCTGATAAACTTCATCTTAGGGCGACCTAATTGGAACTTTCCAACTAGTGTAAATTTGTATTTTTCTGCACGATTTGAAATTTCAGCGTTAGAGAAGAATATTGTTGGTTTGTCCGTCTTTTTCTCTACTTTTTTTATGAGATTGCAATCTCCATGTCCTGTAACATAGTCATGGTACGTCTGCGGGAACATCAGACTATCCGCGAGGTGGAAAGAAGAGTTGCGTTTGTGAACCACTATAGCATCAGAGGTTTTGGCGGGGTTATCACCGGGGAGGGCGGCGGCGTAGGAAAGCTCTGAGGTCATTAGCGTGCTTCACACAAGCACTGCAGGAACAATTGGCGCGGCTTATCGACTGACGCCAACGAACGGGACGCGAGCAGAGCAGTTCTAGCAGAAATGGTGGAACAGTCGAGCGGTAGCAGACGAGCCCTTCAGTTCTTCTCGAACACAAGAACGAACGTTCGTGCCCAAAAATCGTTCTTCAACGAGCTGCGAGTACTACGAAGGACGACGGACTAAGCGCAACACAATGAGCTTATTGACCTCATTTTGAGGTCATTACTCTTTTTCTTAGGATCCTAGGATCTAGCTCTAGGTGTTCCTATTGACTATCTTAGAAAAATAGTATTAGAATCCATTTCCTTAAAAATTTCAGCCACTTCCTATTTCTCTTGTGATGTCTCGCATTGATTATTATCTCAATACTATCGTCGTATGGTCGAGTGGTTAATGACTATCATATGGAGACTTAAAGAGAAGTTCTCAATAGTATCTCAAGCTCTAGGAAAACCTCTTCAGGACTTCATCATCACGCACACACATAAAATGCACAAAATTCATTAAGTTGCACAAGATCGGACTAGAATTGAGCTTAAAGAATGGATGAAAATGCGAACTTCTCCAGATGACCTCCAATAACGAAATGGACTGCGCCAACGCTTTCGAGACATCAATTTTAGCTAGGAAAGACACTCATATTGTCATAATTCCACACACCATAAAATTACACGCAAATCAATGAATTCGTCAAAACGACATCCGACAAAAAAACGGACCACATCAACGCGTCCGAAACGTTAGAATTACCTAAAAAAGACATCCATTTTGTTATGTTGTGACGCAATAATAAAAATATACAAATCAAATTCTTATTTTTGAAATATTAAATACTGTTATATTTATATTATTACTTATAATATTAATTTTAATCCCAAACCCTATTTACCCCCTTTCCCGCTCACTTCACCTTCATTTGACCCCCGCGGCTTGGTCAGGTGTTCGACTTGCTCTCTCTGCGTGCCCTAGCTTCCTTGGACAATCCACGTGGCCGCCTCCTTCTCTCGAATCTTCTTCTCCCTCGCGTGGCCGCTCGACCTTTCGACTCTCGAATCGTGGGAGCCCGGCTGGCCAACCCTTCTTCTTCTCGAGGTTTACTTTCTCCTCCTTTATGGCGACGATTCCTTCATGTTGTTTGATTCGACCACAAAATCGTGGTAGGTGGATGCCCCCCTCTCATCTCCGTCTATAAAATGGCTTCTTAGGCTACTTTTCTGGGTTGTTGAAAACTTTTTGAGAGAAACGAAGGCTATGGTTTTCACTAGTTGCTGTTCGAGGCTTTAGGAGAAGAGGCTCTGG